ATGGGGATCCGGAAGACCAGAACCACGCCGCAAAGACCCCAGTCCAACGGAGCAGCTGAGTGGCTGATCCGTACCATCACCGAACACCTTGCCATGGTGGTGGCCCACAGTCAAAAGGACTGGGATTTGCAGGTGCTCTTGGTGCTCCTGAGCCTGCGGGTGGCCCCGCACGCCACTACGGGGGTGTCCCCGTCCATGATGATCGGCCGGCCCCTCAACCTGCCGCCTGGCCTGGCGCGAGGCTACCCGCCCGGGACGCCTGCGCTGCCGTCCCGGCTCGACTACCCTGTCTGGCTGCAGTCCCGGCTGTACAGCATCCACCACGAGGTCCGGGACTACGCTGGGGCTGCGGCGCTGCGTCAAAAGGTGTGCTACGACGTGCGGGCGAAGCGTCCCACGTTCCAGCCCGAGGACTCCGTGTGGCTGTTCCAGCCCCGGCGCCAGGTCGGGCGCAGCCCCAAACTAGACTGCTGGTGGACCGGGCCCTGGACGGTCCTGTCCGTCATCAAGGACGTGACCGTCCGCATCTGGGACCCAGCCAAGCTGCGTTCGCGCCCGCGGACCTTCCATTCGGACCGGCTGGCGCCCTACATCGCTGAGCCCTAGATGCAGCAGCCGCTCAAAAAGAAGAGGGGAGGGGGTGATGTTGGAGTTCGGGACCGGCCCCTATCCCATCCCCCGTTGTCGGTCCCCGGGTCCCTGTTGGCGGCTGCTTAGCAACCCCAGGAGGATATGTAGTTAGCGATAAGTAGGGTCGAAAAGGAGGGTCCGGCGAAAGGGAGGGTCGCGCCGAGGAGGGTCGCGAGGAGGGTCGGGAGGAGGGTCGCGAGGAGGATCGGCGAAAAGGAGGATCGGCGAAAAGGAGGGTCGCCGAGGAGGGTCGGCGATTTTTCGGCACTTAATAATCCGTTTGCGTTCGCTATGCACTATGAACACATCAAAACGCGCGAGTGGTGCACTGGAGCGAGCTCAAGCGTACGCGGCGGCTGGCGGCGAGACAGCAGCGCGACCTGGCGGAATATGGTGGAAGGTGTCATCATTCCGTCCGTTCTTGCGCACCGGCGTGTGGTGTCAAATCGTGTCAAATGGGCAGCTGACGGGTTGCAACAAGGTACGCTTTTCTCTTTGTCGAAGGTTGTTGAATGTGACCAAATGTCTTGTCTGATTTCCGAATCTTTTCTTGTTGTTCACCGTTCACCTATGTCGACATATTCTGATAATTCGACAGAGACATGCACAGTCTTGTTAAGGCTTTAGAGGTTAGGTTATTCTTGCTGGTTGTTTTGTATTTTAATTTGAATTTTATTTCCAACAGATTGCACGATGTATTACCAAATTTATTCCGTTTTGAGTGAAGCAAATGTGGACCAGCTAGCTGGTGGTGAACAGGTTCCTGCATTCTGGATACAGGATGCTGCGTCCCAACTTCCCAACCTGACTGTTCATGAGACTAATCAGTCATCACTTGTAATTGAAGAAAGTACTTCACCATCCAAGAAAGTAAAGATTTCATGTAAGTAGTGTGACCTTAATACTTATATTAATGGTTTAGTGAGGATATATGTAGTCATTATTAGTTTTACTTGTTCCACCCTAGTGCCAGTATCACCTTCAATCGTAAGAGGAATGCCCACAGCAGTTCAGATCACAAAATTATCACCAACCAGCTACAATCCTGTGAGTTATTACTTAGACCTAAATGATTATGCTTTTGATTTACAAGTAGACCT